GGCTCGGCTGATGGGTGCAGCCAGGTGGGCAACCATCATTAACTCATGGTGACATCTTCTCCACTGAGTCACATTCAAGACAACCCAGGAAGAGTCCTGTGATACAGTCCTGTCACTGTGGCAGGATGTCTGTTTAGCTCACAGTTTTGGGGGACTCAGATAATGGTCACTTGGTTCCATTACTTTGAGCCTGAGGGTAAGCAGGGTATCATGATGGAGACAATATGGGGGGTTGAAGCTGCTCCCCACAGCAAATGGGAAGCATAGAGAGTAAGTGAGAGCAAGAGAGTCCTCTGTGTAGGTGGAATTTTCTGTTCCACCAGCCAGCTCCCAAACAACCACATGGAGGCTTACTATTAATTATAAATGTTTGGCCGATCATTTAGACTTGTTACTAGCTAGTTCTTACATTTTAAATTAACCCCCTTTTTAAAATCTATGTTCTACCACGTGGCTTGGTATATTTCCTCATTAGGGCATGATCATCTTGGTTCTCCCGGTGTCTCCTGGCAACTCTGCCCTTCTTCATCCCAGAGCTTTCTCCCTGTCTGAAAGTTCCACCTAACCTCTTCCTGCCTAGTTATTGGCCATTTAGCTCTTTATTAGACCAATGAGAGCAGCACATCTTCACGGTGTACAAAAAGATTTTCCCACATCACCTCTAAACTGTGCACATTGATGGAGTCGGGCACTGATGAGGCCAAAGCCCTCATGACAATCATTTCCCAACAGTCATCAGCCAGCACTGAGCTCTTAGCACATTGTCTTCGGGGCCAGTTTAGGCCCATCTGCCTGGAGCTGCTCCTGGAGACTCATTTCAAGGTTCTTCAAGAAAATGCCCCTCCCTGTGCAGGCTTTACTTGGCTGCCATGCCTGACTAATGCCGCTGCAGGCTCTAACTATGTACTGGTTTCTTTTGTCAGTGCTGTTACAGACAGCTGACAAAGACACTTCAAGGAGGGAAGAAAGGAGAGAGGGAGGAGGGAGGAGGGAGGAGGGAGGAGGGAAGGTGTTTGGGGCTCACAGGATGAAGAAGTCACAGAAGCAGGATGTGAGGCAGCTGGTCACTTGGTATCCTAGCTAGATTTTTGTGATAAACATTATGAGTCTGGGCAACTTGGGGAGTAAAGGTTTTATTGACTTGCATGTCCTGGGTCACTGTCCGTCACTGAAGGAGGTCAGAGCAGGAACCGAAGCAAAGGCCAAGGAGAAACGCTGCTCACTCGCACACTCCCCAGGCTTGCTCAGCCTGATTCTTATACAACCCAGCACCACCTGAGGGGTGGCACCACCCACAGTCACATCCATCAGCAACAGAAAGGCAGATGCCAGGGAGACTTGCCTACAGATGAGTCGCATGGAGGTTTTTTTTTCCTCAGTTGAGGCTCTCTCTTCCCAGATGACCCCAGCTTATGTCAAGTTGGCAAAACTCTATTGAGCACATGGCCCACATGCCTAACCAGGATGATGCACTATCAGGAGGATGCACTATCAGAATGCACTATCAGGAGGATGCACTATCAGGATGATTCACTATCAGGATGCTGCATTATCAGATGCTGCACTATCAGAATGCACTATCAGGAGGATGCACTATCAGGATGATGCACTATCAGGATGATGCACTATCAGGAGGATGCACTATCAGAACGCACTATCAGGAGGATGCACTATCAGAATGCACTATCAGGAGGATGCACTATCAGGATGATTCACTATCAGGATGCTGCATTATCAGATGCTGCACTATCAGGATGCTGCACTATCAGGAGGATGCACTACCAGGAGGATGCACCATCAGGAGGATGCACTATCAGGATGCACGATCAGGATGCGCTATCAGGAGGATGCACGATCAGGAGGATTCACTATCAGGATGCATGATCAGGATGCACTATCAGGATGCGCTATCAGGAGGATGCACTATCAGGATGCACGATCAGGATGCGCTATTAGGAGGATGCGCTATCAGGAGGATTCACTATCAGGATGCATGATCAGGATGCGCTATCAGGAGGATGTGCTATCAGGAGGATGCACTATCAGGAGGATGCACTATCAGGAGGATGCGCTATCAGGAGATGCCCAATCAGAATGCAATGATAGATGAGTGTTGGTGCTTAGCTCGACCGCTCCCCTTTCCCTGTGACTCGGACCCCATGCCATGGTGTGGTGCCATCCACAGGTAGGGTGCACCGTTGCTCCTCAGTTAGCCTAACCTAGACATGCCCACACAGACAAAGATTTGTCTCTTTTCTGAGTCTAGATTCTGCGAAGTTGACAATCAGGGTTATCCGTTACACCTCACTCATAGCTTTGTTCTTCATGTTTGTGTGGTTTTTTTTCTCTCTCCCTTTCCGGCGGTTCTCAGCTGTCCTAATGCCGTGGCCCTATAATACAGTCCCTCATGTTGTGGTGACCCCCAATCAAAACATTATTTCCTTGCTACTTCATAACTGTAATTTTGCTGCTGTTACACATTGTAACATAAGCATCTGATGTTTCCGGTGGTCTTGCCCACCCCTGTGAAAGGGTCATTCTACCCCCAGAGGGGTCAAGACCCACAGTTTGAGAACCACTGCCCTAGGATACGGCAGATAGTATCTTACCCCTTCCTGTTGCATTCAGACACTCAGGGGAGTGGTTCAAGCGTAGGCTAACCAAAAAAAAAAAAGTTACCTCACCAGAGATATCTGGAAAAGGTTTTACTTCAAGCAGCCAAAGCATCACCCCAGACAGCGCTTAGCGCCTCTGAGAGCCGGGTGTCCTACTGAAGCATCGTGTTACTAAAAAAGAAAACAGTGTTCTGGAGCCTGGCTCACGTGCTGGACTGTTCCACCAATTGACTTCTTAGCCATGAATTAGTCTCTGTGTAGTCGTCAGAGCCCCAGAGCATCAATCGCTCTCAGACTGTCACTGCCGCTCAAGCGAGAAGCCGGGGTTGGCCCTGCTGCCTTTGCTCTTGGCGTCATTGTTTTCCTCTTTAATTTAAGGAGGATTTGGTTCTCCTCTGCTTCGGTTTAGAGGAGAATAATGTGAAATAAACTCCACGTAAAGAATGTACAGAAAAAGTGAGGCTTGGCTGGTGAGGCATCTCAGGGTCGAAGGCGCCCGTCCCGGAGCCTGGTACCTGAGCTCGACACCTGGGACTCACATGGCGGAAGGAGAGGACCAACTCCCGTAGTTTGTCCTCTGGTTTCCACACATACCCTGCATCATGCATGCTCTCACGCGCATATGTGCACCCATTTGCATGGTAATGATGTGATTAAAAGTGTTACGTGAGTTTCTTCCTTACCTCAGAGGCTCTGGTCCTCCTCCTCATCTTTGCTGTCCCCCGTGGCAGCTTTCCCTTCCCTCACTGGACTGGAACAATCGCACTTTCATGCTGCTGGGTGGTTTTACCCTCTTCCGTTAGCACACCTATTATTCAGGCTTGCTCTTCATTTCTCTCTGCACATTTTAGAAAATAATTTATACTTCTTTACATCCTCCATACAAGGCCTCTATCAGAATTCCCAAATATCTTCCTTCCACCCGGTATTTTGTTTTCCTTCTCTTTTTTAATGACCAAAACTCATACATTTAAAGAAAAAAAGTTATTTTATTACTTGCTTATATGAGCGCAGTACCTGCAAAGGCCAGAAGAGGGCCTCTTGCTAGGACAGCCCACACTGACGCTAACTTGCTCACTTGTATTGAAGATGGAAAGAAAGCCTACAGTAACCAGCCTTCTAATCCAGGCCTGGTGTCTCCAGGCTGCACCAGGAGAAAAGGCCAGGCTTTCTTTTTGTATGTGTTGCTAAGCCCAGAACCCAGAACCGAATCACCAGAATCACCACCATGAGACTGACTCCAATGCAAAAACAGAGTCTCATTTGTGAGTTATTTCAGGTCCCCCTGCCCGTCTGAAGTGGTGGCAGCAAGTAGCAAGGACGACAGCAGCAGCAGCAGCAAGGACAGCAGCAGCAGCAGCTGGATCGGAGCAGGAGAGGGACCCAGAGCAGCAAGGGAAGGGGGCCTATATAGTAGCTAGGCAGAGGCTTGGGGAACTCCAAACCTGCCTAGCTACAGGCTTGTGATTGGCTCTTCCCTCCAAAACTGCATAGTTACAGCTTTGGGGTTGGCTCAAGCCTGGACTGAGCTGATTGGCTGTCCTGGGACTAGGATTCCAAGCCTTCTGGATGGTGATTGGCTGCCCCCATGAAGTGGTGGGAATTCCCAGTCTAGGAGAATCCCTAGCCTGAGCCTGCTGACTTGGGATTGGTCAGTTTTTCTAGCTCAGGGATTGGCTAGTTTTGAGTCAGGCAGAGATGGCTCCCACTCTAGGGCCTAACTGTGTCTCTTTCTATGGTTCTTTTTGGCTTTCTGGCTCCAATTCTAGGACCTGGTTGGGTTTCTTTTACATGTCTCAAATCTAGGGTTCAAGTGTGTTCTTTTAGGTCTAATTTCAGAGTTCGGGTCTTTTGTCCTGGCTCCAGGATTAGGGATAAAGTGTCTCTTTCACCCGCTCCGGTCCCAAATCCAGGGTGTGTTTCTTTCACTGGGGTGGAGCTTGAAGCTGAGCCTGCGGGGTCTGTGTAGGGGCTGCAGACCAGGGATTCTCTGTGGGCTGGGTCTCTCAGGTGTGCACATGTGTGTGGAGATGTGGAGGTCAGAGGACAGTCTTGCGGGTCATTCAGGAACACCAGCCACCGTCTTTGAATGGCCTGGAGCTCACCCCTGCGAGCCTTGGGGCTCTCCTGTCTCTGCCTCCCCAGCACTGGGATTACAAGCACGTGCCATCGAACCTGGTATCTTTGCGTGGGTTCTGGAGACTGAACTCTGGTCCTTACAAAATGCTTTCTCTCCTGAAGGCCGTGGTTTTCTAATAGAGATGTTCCTTGATTCAGAGGGATTCATGGCTTTGAGTATCCCACACACGCTGTTCTGAAAATACTGTTTCAGAGACGTCTCCGGTCATCGGATGCATTCAATTTGAACATCTTCTCTTGTTTCAGCTCCACACGAGGAGGACTTGAAACGGGGCCTGGAATGATGGACTGTTCCATCCCATCAAAGCCGGTCTCCTGGTGGTTCAGCCTGGAGGGGATTTATACGAGCCAGTAGCAACAGGGCCGAGCTGTGAGAATGGAAATGTAGGGAGACTGACGCCTATCAATCATCTGACTGTGTTCTCGCCTGCTTTGATGTCCTGGACCTGGCTGTGGGAGCAGAGGGCGCCTGCCGGCCCCTCAGAATGGAAATGTAAAGGAATGGGTATTTTTAGGAAAGTCACTTTCTGTAACACATCCGGAGTTCTTCTAAAGGTGTTTTTAGCTCTGCAAAGAGCGAGTTGGGTTTGTTTTGTGACTCGGGCTAGAGTGCTGGGTTAACTGGGGAGGAGTAATCCTGGGAGTCGGAGGCACACACATCTTTAACATTTGCTCATGTTTTACTATTTATTTCGTGTGCGTGCGTGCGCGTGTGTGCATATGTGTGTACGCACATGCTTGTGTGTATGCATGTGCGTGCATATGTGTGTGTATGCATGTGTGTGTGTGTCCACGTGCAACAGTAGCTTGTGGAGTTGTTTCTCTTCTTCCACTCTGCGGTTCCCCAGGGATGGAACCCAGGAAGGCAGGTCGGCAGGTGCCTCGACTCACTGTGCCATCTCACTAACCCTCGGCACACGCAATTTTATGGCAAAGTCACAGTGAAGCTTCACCAAATGTGTTTAATTCTCTCCTTAAAATAGGTCACTGAGACATGGTGTTCTTGGAGGGCCAGATCGAACCCTGCACAATGGCCGTGCACGGTAGTTCATCCTAGCTCTTGGGAGGTTGAGGTAGGATAATATTTTAAGTTAGCCTGGGCTTCACCTCGGAAAATCAACCAAACCAAGCCAAGCAAAAAGCGAACAAAAAACCAACTAACCAACGAAAACACCAAAAACAAAAAATAAAAACTCAAACCCATAGCAAACAAGCAAGAGAAGTAGCAGACCAGCTCTCCACTCAGAGCCACCATGCTCTGACTCCCAGCCTTCCTACACACCCCACGGCCTTTGACTCCCAACCCTCCCACACACCTTGAGCAAGGAAGTCTTAGGGATTGTCAGGAGCTGGCTCCAAGATTCCTGTCTCACTTGCTCTGAGAACACAAACATGTAGTTGGGGAGGAGGTATGCTTATGTTTGTGTATTTCATTTAGTTTTCCTGTTTGAGAAAATGCTGTTTCCACACCAGGGGCTTCCTTCTCCGCCTGGAGGGGGGTGGGGAGAGGGTAACCGGCCTCAAATTTACTTCTGTTTCTCTGGGACACCCGGGAACAACATGGAACGCTGCCGCCGCTCTGGGAAATGTGGGAGGGAGAAATCAGGCCCCATAGTCGAGAGCTGAGATCTTGGCGCTTGCTGCAAAGTGGAGGGATGGGTTGGGTGGTAGTGAGCATTGTGGGACAGGAGTGAGAGAGCTGGAACTCCCTGAGCTGTGGCAAGAGTGTCAACACAGAGAGAAGCATCGGGTAGGAATGGGCCCTCCCTCCCCACCCCCAACCCCTCCACCCCCCCTGAGGTGCACCCTGAGAACACAGGCCACTCCAAACACTTGCCAGATCAAGATCAAGAGGTGCTGTGCTCACACCAAGCAGACTTGTTCCTCCCCAGCCTCTCCCTGCTCTTCCACGCCCCCACCCCCAGGCTGGCAGCGGCCGGTGTCTGAGGGATCCAGACACCCCTGTGGGCATGGACCCAGGAAGGTCTCGGTTCTGTGTGCCGGGGGCGAGAACACCTTGGCGGGATGCCTCCCCGTAAGAGCCCACAGAGTTTGCCTTTAGCAGCCTGGCTGGGTGGTTCCATCCTGGGGGAGCCTCCTGGGAGGCAGCCATGCCCCTGTGGCAGGAGATCTTAAGGGGTACTGGGAAGAACAAGATTTTTAAAATACAGAATTATTAGAAAAGGAGTGGGTGCCTTCAAGGATTCCCACAGAGTCCCTCCTTTTGTCTGCAACCTACACCCTCCCCCTCCCGCCACAGTGGTTCAGTGAGGGGGTGACACCCGTTTCTTGTTCTACCATGCCTGGCACATTCTTGGGTCTGGCTTTGATGATATGATCCGAATACATCCATGTGCCCCCTACAGTCTCAATTCACCCCCAATGAACTTACGGGGCGGTCCTCTCTGTTCCCAGGAATAAGTCATGTGACGGTTGGGTGTGTGCCCTGCAGATCATGGAGGTTCTGCGTTCACCCAGGGCTGGATTCCCCTCTCTCAAAACAGAGTCAAAAGCTGCTTGTAAGATGGAGTCTCCTGGGGCAAAGAGACAAGCGCAGGCTGAAAAACCACTGCTTTGTCCAGTCTGGAGCGACGCAGAGCAGGGCCAGCCTGGGCTCACAAGAGGCACTCTCTCTTCTGCTCCAGCTACCTGAACCCGATGGGGGCGGTGTGTGGCCTCCACAGGCTGGGAAAGGGGCCAGGTGTGATTTCCAGCACTCAGCAGGTGGGCCGCAGTCTCCCCTAGACCACCCACTCCCCTCGCCCTCCCCGCAGCGGGCATGCCCGGGCTGGTGGGCCTCAAGACTTAAGTTCTCAAAGAATGAAGACAAGATTTGGTGTGCTAGCCTAGCCGGGCTGCCAGGCCCCAGGCTATGTGGTACTTTCCCAGGGATCGCAGAAGGACTCTTTGTTTTCGGTTTGGCTGCTGGTCCTTTGAACACAGAGGACCCCGTTGAGGATCCTAGATGGAGAGCAGGAAACCTTGCCCGCATCTCCTGCTGGGCACTGCCTGTGTGGAGGGGGAGAGGGCAGACAGAGGGGCCACACCCTTAAAGTCTCAGCCAAGGACGCGGCGGTGGATGTCAGCCCCCTCCCACAGGCACCCGACTGAAGGGCCTCCTTTGGGTTGGGTGGTGCTGCATTACAGAGCAAATACTCGGTCACCTTACCCCTGTCCCCACTGCCCTGCCCTCCCACCCCACCCGGGGTGACTCTCCAGCAGTGGAGATAGTCTCAAGAAACCCTTGGCCCCCCCTCTTTTTGAGACAATGGACCCCAAGGGAGTGGGTTTTCTGCCAGGAACCCCACGCTGGACGCTGGATGAAGGAAAAGGCTGGACTGTTTCCTGCCAGAGGGGAGCTTGTCCTCCAGGCAGATTCCACACTCCCTGACTAGTTGTCAGGCTGCCTTGCTGCACTGGGGGTGGGGGTGGGGGACAGAGACACCTGAGTCCTGGTGGGGGGACCTGAGTGGAGGGATAGGACCTGAGTCTGTGGGGGAGGGAGAATCAGGGGGAGGACCCAAGTCCAGTGATAACAGGTCAGACTTGACCTGTTCTGCTTTGTTATGCTGCCTCTTTAGCTCTATTTAAACCAACTCCTCAGATCAAGACTCCACAAAAAGACTTTGGGGGGATCCCTGGACTTCTCTGTTCCTCTCCCCATTGACTAAATATCCCTTCCTCATTTTATGCTACTGGTTTTGTAAACTGTGTAAATTGACCTGTTGGGGACAGTGGCTAGCTTGTTGGGGTCTTGTCAGGGCAGCCTGGGTCTTTTCTGCTTCACAAGTAAGCTCATTGCTGCCTCAGAGTTTGCCATTCCCACCCTCCCCCCCATTTTCTTGAGGAAGCCAGTGTTGATCCCACTGTCCGAGGAGACCCACAGCCCTGCTCCATCACCCCCTAACCCTCAGCCCTCCACAGTCCTGGTGTGGAGGGCACCCTCCTACACCCTCTCCGAAATGCAGGTTTCCTGAGAGCACCCAGCCCCTGGTCACCTTCCTTGCAGTTGCCACGCTAGCAACTAGAATCGGGGTGTCTGGAAAAGAAGCTATTTGGGAGGGATCGGGGGACAGACCCGGGGCACACGTCACTCGAGCTGGAAGCTGAGCCTGCATTCAGTGAAATATGAGGCTGGAAATGCCTGGAGACAGCTGGGATGCCTGGCTGGACTCAAGGGAGAATTTGAGCCTGGGATATGCGTGTCAGAGTCTTTCTCATGCAGCTAGGAACCAAAGCACTGGGTGTGCCCAGAAGGGAGCAAAGTCAGAGCCCCAGGCAATACTTACACCCATCCATACCCACCCTCAGCAGCTTCGAAATCCTATCCCTCTTGCTCTAATGACAGTTCTGCCACCCAGGGTCTTCCTGGAGCTCTCCGGTCCTCCTGGAAGCCGGCAGCAGGCTCTCCACTGTCCTGCATAAGGGAGGGCCATCTGCCGGGTGGGTGCAGCATGTACCATGGACATGCGTGCACTAGACAGGGCCCTAGATCAAAGAGGGCGCTGGGTTTGTGATGTCCTTTTATCTTCCCTGATGAAAGGTGATGCAGAAATGTGAAATTATCGCGATGATTTTACTGGGTTCCAGTTGGGCCAGGAGCTAGCTGGATGCCCCTCGTGGATGACTAGGATGCACACAGGCAGGCTAGTCACACACTCTAACACTCCTGTGGGGATCGGTCTGTCTCATCACCCGAGTGACCTTTATGATCAAGGAGACCCGACGGAGAATCATGGCCTTGAATTCCTACCGATGAATCAGACGCACCGTGAAATATACACGTTGTGTTAATATATGTGGAAAACGCCATCAAGTCTGCAATGGAAGAAACAGTAAGGATGACGTAGGTTGGGTCTGTCAGCGCCTCTCCAGAGAGAGCAGGGAGGAGATGCCATCCCTAGTGTGAAGCTTTCACTACAGAGGGATGAGTAGGAAAATTAACAAGTGTCTCTCGTTCTCTTCCATAATTCATTCTCTTTGTCTTAGGTATTGAGCTTAACCACGAGAAAGCTTTTAAACACAGATCTGGGCCTGGCAGTTTTCGCCTCGCCAGTGACTTCTCCCATCATTAGGGAGATGGACATCATGTCACCCTGTCATTCAAATTCCTTCCCTTCTCTGGCGCCCGCCCGCTGTCACCCTGCAGGGGATGGTGCTGGTCTCACCACCCCCACCCCCCAATTGTGGAACTGCAGTTGCGGTTGGATTTAGAGGTCGTTGGCTTGGGGCTAAGTTAAAGCCGAGGATGTCCACGGGAGCTGTCTGTCTCCCCTGCCTATCTGACCTTGTAAACAGGGAGGAACCGACTGCTGTTTCCTCCTTCTGCGTCTGGGGAAAGTGGAAGCTGACAGCTGAGGCTCCCATAGTGGGTCCCCGGGGTGGGCCACTCACTGGGCTGTCAATGCAGCTGTTGCTTGGGTTGGGGCCCTGTGCTAATTTGGACGCTGACATCCTGGTGACAGCAGCAGGGACAGGGTGGGTGAGTGGAGGGAGGGGAACCTTGAGAAGGCTCCTACAGATGATGGCTGACTTGGTTGTGACATGATGCCACCCAGGCACAGCTTCCCTGCC